ATTAAAGCACTTTAAAGTAAACCTAGCTAGGAGGGCGTTAACTACAGGAGGGCGTTATTTACAGGAGGGCGTTATTTACAAGCGCCGTGACTAAAGGGGGGCGTTAAATACAGGAGGGCGCGAAAGGGCGTGAAAGGGCGTTAAATACGGGTTGCCATATTTAAGCATTCTGGCATGGTAACGCACGGTGAAATATCTTTCCTTCTCGACATAATTGGGGACAAGCTTGGACACCTTTTTTTGATACACCCTGTAGAATCCGGATGTCAATCGCCTTGTCGTCCACGATTCCGACAGGCGTCAAAAACCAGGATTTATGCAACGCAAATGCCCAGAATTGCTGGTTACGGTGTTTTTACGCATTTCCGTTCACAATAAATATTATTAACACTTTCTTTAACAAAATTTAGACTATTTGCCTTTGAAATGTGGTATGGTTTGAGTTTATTTTGCCTAGAATAGCATTTTCAAGTTGGTTTTCAGGACTTGGCTAAATTTGCTTATACGGTCACCTATTCAAAACCCAACTTTTGATATGTCAAAATGCTCAGCAGGAGGTGCTGGTGCAAGTTCCGTTGAGAAAACTTGGCGGCAAAAGCTCTATCTCGAGATACATGACTTCGAAGTTGGCTAGCGTCGTATCCGGTCACCTACTCAAAACCTAACTTTTGATATGTCAAAATGCCCAGCAGGACGAGCTGGTGTGAAATCCGTTGAGAAAAACTTGGCGGCCAAAGTTCTATCTCGAGATACACGACTTCGTAGTTCAATATTCTGACTGCGAAAAATCGGTTTTCGCTGATCGATAAGATCAAGGACGGTTTTGCGACAGGAGTCACTCAATTTGGAGGGAAAGTAATCGCTACTTCTTCCGCTCTGCGACTAGAAAAAGGCTTCGTGCCACCGGGGGCCTAGTCGCTTCGGATGGGTGCGAGCTCGTACAGGGTTTCGAAATCGGGGCGCCCGAGGCGCGCGTAGCGGCCAGGCGCCCCGATTTCGAAAGAGTGAAGCGGCAGCCCATCCGAAGCGACGGCCCACCTTGCCTGACCGTTCTCAGCATGTGTGAATGTGCGAAAAAAAAAGTAAATGTGGGCTTAAAAACGTGCTTTTGATCAGTTACGTAGGTTTCCGAATTTTCCTTTGGAATTTTTGCTGTCTTTTGGTGCTTTTCGTACTACTGACGCACTCAACATTTCGCCATTTTGGTGCTTTTCTTTTGTAATATCTCGAGATAGAGCGTTCGCCGCCAAATTTTCTCAACGGATTTCACACCAGCTCGTCCTGCTGGGCATTTTGACAAATCAAAAGTTAGGTTTTGAGTAGGTGACCGGATACGACACTAGCCAACTTCGAAGTCATTTATCTCGAGATAAAGCTTTTGCCGCCAAGTTTTCTCAACGGATCTTGCACCAGCTCATCCTGCTGAGTATTTTGACATATCAAAAGTTGGGTTTTGAGTAGGTGACCGTATAAGCAAATTTTCCCCAGGCATTTATGTTCATACCAGTCGACAGGGACGTAGCGTAAGGTGGGCCCCCTGGGCACGGCCCCCGAAATCGGCCGGGGCCCGAAAATTTCATAAGGGGGGACCCTTATGATTTTTATTTTCTCAAAAATTTTGCCGCCTGCGGCGCTATTTTTTCACGTTTTTACTGCTATTTGTAGAGCTATATAGCCTTTTTTCCAAAATTTTTCGCCTGCGGCGCTGTTTTCTCGTTAATTTTTGAGTTTTTCGAAAAAAATTTTTCGGGCCCCCCGAAATTTTTTTTCTGGCTACGCCCCTGCCAGTCGATAACAGCCGCTTCGCGGCTGCTATCGACTGGCCCTCCCGGGGGGCAAGGCAATACAGGGCGCTTCTCATTCTCTTTAGTATATTTCCCGCTTGGCGCGGATACCTTCCGTGCTCTACCTATGCACCTCCTCGAAACCCAAAGAACCTTCCACTCCTCCTCTTCCCCCTGAAAGAAACCCCCCAACAGCCGTAGCTGATCCTAAACAAAAATAGAAGGGAAGTGTAATGGTTAGCACACCCCCTAGAAGCAAAGCTATAACCTTCTTTAAAAATAAAAAAACATAGAAGAAAGTTGTAATGGCTAGAATGACCTTTGAAACAACGTTAGATCCCTTCATTGATAACAAAAAACATCTCAGAAATGCCGAATGGCCAGAATGCTCTGTGAAAAAAAGGTTGTATCCCTTCTTCGATACTAAAAAAACATCTAAGAAACGCGTAATGGCTAGAATACCCTTGAAAGAAAGTTATTTCCCCTTCTTTGATACTAAAAAACCTTTAATAAGAAAGTTTTAAATTATTGTAAGAATTAATTGTATGAAATAAGAGTAAGTAATAATTGAATTCGTTAAAAAAATAAAAAGAAGACTCCCACTGCAAGCAGGGGAGTAAAACGAGCCGAAGCCCGCGTAAGATCCCACGAGGGGATTAAACTCGCAAGCGAGCGTAAACCGACAAAGCGGCTTGAACCAAACCACAAGGGAATGGCGGGTGCTCAAAGGTGAGCTGAAAGTAAAGTTAAAGATGTTGGCCTGTTTCGACCCTACTCCAAGACAGGCTGAAGAAAGACACTCTAAGAAACGCGTAATGGCTAGAATGTAAGGATGAATGAATGCTAGAATGAATGTAAGCTTGAAAGAAAGTTATTTCCCCTTCTTAGATAATAAAAAACATCCTAAAACCTCGGAATGGCTACAATACCCTTTGAAACGATATTTTTCTGCCCTGGCCCTTTCGGGGAAAAAGGCGAAACGCTGCGGCTCCGGTGAAAATTTTCAGCCGCCGACTACGGTAGACAGGGGGATCGCGGCGGGATTGAATTCCCGGTCGGTCGGTCGGTCGGACGGGCGGACGGACATTAGAAATTTATATATAGTAGATGATAATGCTTATTCTTACAAGGGAAGCGCACGACCGGCCCACGAGAAATCGACAGGCTCTGATATAATCTGATAGAATCGCCCACGGGGATTCCGAATCTGTAATTAGAATCTGCTAAATACAACGGAGAAAAAGTTATGAAGCTTCAAAGTTGGTCAAATCGCCAAAAACGGTACCTTTAAGGGCCCGTAAAAACCGGGGGAACGGAATTGAGGAGAGGAGAGGTTCTATACCGGTAACGGGGATTTTGTACGAAATCGGGGATTTTGTATGAAATCGGGGATTTTAGTTTGGAATCTTCGAAATCGGGGATTTTACCAGAAATCGGGGATTTTTGCCGAAATCGGGGATTTTAAAAAACTGAAGATCGGCTCGATTTTGGAGCCGCCGAAATCAGGGATTTTAAAAAGGGTCGATCGGACGGGCTAAAATCCCCGATTTCGAGACGGCGAAAAACGGAATTCATAAAAGTTGTCCGGTAGTCCCTGACAACTAGGTTTGCTTCGGCGTCGCTTAGCTTTCACATGAACTTAGAGCGCTATCAAAACACTTCTTGTAGTTATTAGTCCATGTGTTTGGCTTCTCTTAGATTACTTTGTGCAATCAATGTATTAGAACCGTACCTGACGTACGGAACTTCTAATATACCGAAGAGGCCCGAAGTCCTATTATTCAAAGCTCAAAAGGGACTTGATCCGGTTGAATCATATATTATAAACTTTAAATATCACTTTAAATGAAGTATTTTCGTTACTAAATGTACAGACTTGAATTTAAATAGTCATTATCGTTCTAAAATAGATCAACGATACTTCGGTTTCTGGACTCCTCCAAGCCAGGCTTCACAATAAAGTACCCTCTGGCATGATGTAATACTAACTACAGTATATTAAATAGTAATAAAAAGTTTAATTTATAATGTTTTCCTATGTAAAATTAGACGTAATTCAGCCGAAAGGGACTACCGGACTACCGGACAACTTTTATGAATTCCGTTTTTCGCCGTCTCGAAATCGGGGATTTTAGCCCGTCCGATCGACCCTTTTTAAAATCCCTGATTTCGGCGGCTCCAAAATCGAGCCGATCTTCAGTTTTTTAAAATCCCCGATTTCGGCAAAAATCCCCGATTTCTGGTAAAATCCCCGATTTCGAAGATTCCAAACTAAAATCCCCGATTTCATACAAAATCCCCGATTTCGTACAAAATCCCCGATTTCGTACAAAATCCCCGTTACCGGTATAGAGCCGAAAAGAATTAGTGCATCTTGTTGAGCAGAAAAAGCGCTTTCGAATGAGGGATCTTACTTTAAGTTTACGATGATTTCGAGGAAATCGCTTCTATGAACTTGGCAGGCCATACCCATGCCTGTGAATCCAAAAGAACTTTTTCAATGAATTGTTTGCAAATGGTACGCATTACAGCTCATTCGAAAGCGTTTTTTCTGCTCAACAAGATGCACTAATTCTTTTCTCCTCAATTCCGTTCCCCTGGTTTTTCCGGGCCCTTAAAGGTACCGTTTTCGGCGTTTTGGCTAATTTTGAAGCTTCATAACTTTTTTCTCCGTTTTATTTAGCAGATTTTGATTACAGATTCGGAATCCCCGTGTCGGATTCTATCAGATCCACTATGTCGCGTGTCGGTTTCTCGTGGGCCGGTCGTGCACTTCCCTTGTTAGTCCAACATAACCCCAGACCGTGAAAAGCCTGGCGATAGGATCCGAAGAGTTATAGCCACTATTGCCTAGCAGCCACAGCCGTACCTTTTTTAGGGCGTTCGTGTTTCTACGACGATTATCATGTGGCAACTAGTTTTTAAACCCTTATGGTTTCCAGAATCGGATAGAGCACTTCCAAATCTACTTTGTCACTACAAAAAAATAGCTCTGTATCGCTCAGAACGGCAATTTTTTGAGATAAAACTGAGCCACCCAAAACTTTTTCCACACCCTGTAGGTATTTCTGTCACTTTCGCGTTCCTTGCCTATTTCTGTGAATACATTCTTGGATTGTAAGGATAGCGCGTCTTCCCCACGCTGATAACGACTGAACTCCCAAAAGGATCTGTACACTTCTTTATGCCTCATACATAACAATCGTGACGAAATTACAGTTTAACAAGATGAAAAATCTTCTTTGAAACTTGCCAGTCGAACCTGATTGACAATTCCAATTCTTGAATGGCATCCATGCCCAGAACGTTTACATCGGCAAATCCGGCTCGAGAAATTTGGCATTGGACGTACGTTTTGGGGTCCTGAACATTAAATTAATCATCTATACACCAGCCGATTACAGTAGCTTCCGGGTTACCCTGCATATTCTACACCACCACATCGGGGGTAGCGGGCGTAGCCCGCTAACCCCTTTTGGTTTGAGGTACCCCCCCCATACGACTCTTTTGAGGTCCTTTTCCGGATTTAAAAAAGAACCAAGCATCGAATCGCCAAACTGAATACACCATCGGAACCGGCGACACTTTTTATATACCATAAGCTTTTAAAATTTGAAAAAAAGTAAAATTTCGAATTTTAACAGCCGATTTAAATTGCGTTTCGAGGGGGGGGGGTCTGCGTTTGTATGTCTGTCTGTATGTACGCAAAACCTTTGTAGTCGTCAAAAAGTGCCTTCCCATAGTCCGTTTGGGCTGAAATTTTCCACATATATCGACTTGATGTAAATGAAGGTGAGGAAGAAGCATTTTTTCAAATTAGGTTTTTAAAAAATTTATATTGAATTTTTAAGTTTAAAAGCTAAATTGGGCCCAAAACAGGGGTTATTGATGTCCGTTTGGGCTGAAACTTTGCTCAAATATGCATTAGACCTTGCCAAGCAAAGTAAAGAAGAAATTGTATCGAAAGAATGCTTCTCTTTTGAGATATTATAACTTTAAACCTTCACCATACGGGGCGCCACCCTCCCCTTTGGCCGCCCCAGCCCCGGTCAGCAGGGCGGGTCTAGGTCCCCCGAGACAGCCCTACAGACTCCCGGTTGGCCTAGTGGTTAGCACGCTGGACTGGGAAGACTTGGCTCCCGAGTTCGAACCCCGCCCGCAACATCGATTTTGCCGATTGGCCCGAATGCATGGTTAAGGTTTTTAGTACCTTTACAAAGCGCCGCAGGCAAATTTTTTGAAGTATTGCGTACAAGGGTTCATCTGAATAAATATCCCATGACTTATTCTATGATCTTAACAACGAAATTGAGGCAAAAAGAGCTAAATTCTCTCTAAGGCTAAAAAGAGTCTTTTCAAAAAGGCTTTTGGTTTTCGCAAAAAGAGATTAATTCTCGTGGCAACAAAAAGTGCTAAATTCCTTTAAAACTCTGAAAAATGCCACAAAATGGGGAACAACAAAAAGCTGCTGGCTAATTAAAATCTTAATAAACTTGGGACTGTTTTAGATTACAGGTCAGGTGTACAGATTAATTTCAAGAAAATGGATCATAATACAGAAATTTATTTATACGCCGAAACGACTAAAAACGAGTCTGTCCCTTTTAATAAGGTGCCAGCAACTTTTGGTTGATCCCACATTTTGTGGCATTTTTCAGAGTTTTAAAGGAATTTAGCACTTTTTGTTGCCACGAGAATTAATCTCTTTTTGCGAAAACCAAAAGCCTTTTTTTGAAAAGACTCTTTTTTAGCCTTAGAGATCACGCCCTACCTTCAACTAAACCCACGCTGATGGCTTTAGATACCTCCCATAGCCGAAGCCCCCTTAAAAATCTACCTCGATACCTTCATGATAGCCTTCCATACCCCATAGCCAAAACTCCCTTAAAAAGCTACCAAAATATCTTCCTGATCATTTGTATGTTTACGTTGTCAAAAATCGAAAAAATCAAGTTGTGTTATATCTTCATGCCCAGCATTCTGTCATGGTAACGTACCTTAGATTCTCTACCGTCCGCGAGTTACTCGTGGTCTGCTCGTTAAGCTCAAGCCTATTCACGGTCAAAAAAACCTCTGTACAAAAGTCGTTCTTTTCATTGCGTGTATGTGCTCTTTGGAATTCTTTGCCCCAATCTGCCTTCGATAGTTCTTCAACTAAAATATTTAAAAAGCAGGGTTCCCGATTAGTACCTATTTCATCCATTCTTTAATTAATCATGTCCATTTAACGCCTTAATGCTTCACCCTTTATCTATCCTATCACTTCTTCTCTCCCCCCCCCCCCCCCCTTTTTTTTCAACAAACTTCCAACCTTACCTCCACTAATAAGTGTTTACTTGTAAACCTAAGTGCGAGAAATAAATTATTATTCTGGCGTGGTAACGTACAGTAGCGTGCAAAAAGAAGGCAACACCCAGGAAGCTCTTGTAATTCGGCTGCCTCGTTATATTTTGCACCAAACGGAATGTTTCCTAGTGTTTTCGATGCTGTAGAATTCGATGAGCAGGGTCCGAAGCCGCGAAAATGACGTTTAGTAGCATAAATATGGAATTTAAAATAGCTCCAAAAAAATCGACTTTTTCTAAAGGCATCTTTCCGTTTCAAAAACATCACCATCGTGTTCAGCATGGTCGATTTACCCAAAGGCAATGTTTCTGGTTGCTTAGGACGTCTTCAGTCGGCTAGGAAGCTGCGTTTAATAGGGGTCGCCATCGGTCTGATGGGGGCGTCTGCAATACCTTTCCCCCCAGACGAGCCCACTTCTTGACCCGTTTGGCGCAAGGAAAACGCCGCTTTCCGGCTAGGCCAAGTCAAATCTCATCACAAACGACAGTGACTTCGGGTAAATCGACCATGCTGAACACGATGGTGATTTTTTTGAAACGGAAAATGCCTTTAGAAAAAGTCGATTTTTTTGGAGCTGTTTTGAATTCCATATTTAAGCTACTAAACGTCATTTGCGCGGCTTGGGACCCTGCTCATCGAATTCTACAGCATCGAAAACACTAGGAAACATTCCGTTTGGTGCAAAATATAACGAGGCAGCCGAATTACAAGAGCTTCCTGGGTGTTGCCTTCTTTTTGCACGCTACTGTACCTTCGATTCTCAAAGATAAGCGAGATATTTTGGTGCGAACTTGGTTCTTTTTTTGACGCACCCTGTAGCATATCAGCACACTAATGAGGCTGCGAGGCGCCTATTGTGCTAATGCATGCCTTCAGCTGAAACTGCCAAAGTTCCAAGAATCCACGTAACACAACTGCTGCCTGCGCTACAAAACAAAACAAAAAAGAACCTGAATTGCAATGTTATGTGTGTGGTTGGTGAAGCCCAGGCCGACCAGTTTTTCGAGTGACTTGACCGTTAGACAGGTGTATGGGACACCCGTGCCAACTAGAAACCATACGTGTAGAATCGGTGTTTTTTTCGAATCTGCAAATTTTCATTATAATAACTTAGCTAAATCACTCAAACCAAAACGGGTTAGCGGGGTAGGCCCGCTAACCCCGATTGTACTTACCGACGTGTTGACATACGAGGGGCACCATTAACCGAGAGTTTTTTCCATGAACTCGGCCTAGCACCGGAAAAGGCGTTGCGGGAAACACGCCGGTTGACAAGTGTGCCGGTCTGCTCGTGATTCCAATCTGGGACAAGGAAATACAAGATTATAAATACACTCTACCTGTTCCAGTGCGTTTTCGTCGATGTCAGAAATTCGAAAATCGACGTCCTTGTATGGAAGGGCCAACAACGATCCGTCCGACGCCTAAAAATCGCCTATAATAATTATGTGGTGTCCGTCCAAGCGGGTGGGGGGGGGACACAGGGGGGCAGGCCACGCGATAAGGCAAAAAAACATAAGGGTCCTTTTTGATTTTTTGGTGCTTCAGCTCGGCGGGGTCTGCGCGGGGATTCGGTGGGGTCGGCGCAGGGGGTTGGCGAAGTCGGCGAGGGGGTTGGCGGAGTCGGCGAGGGGGTTGGCAGGGGTTTTCCCCGGGGGTTCGCCCATACCTTTATCCGTGGCGGGGCAGTACTGCCGAAACCCCCTCGCCGACCTCGCCCGTACCCCGCCAATTATCTTCCGTGTAAAACATCGTTGACTAAGATAATAGTTTCGATTCAAGTATACAGCATCAAAAACTAACTTCAGATGCAAACGCATCCTCCTCGCCCTTTCCGCATCGTTCATAGTAGACGGGGGCTACACTCTCGTTGTCGAGCGCCAATTGCCCGCCTCGATGAGTCGTCGTGGCGACCATTGTTGATTTCGCATCATCGGTAGCAGATGAATCGTCTGATGAAGTGGGCGATTTCGAGCTGTTCGCGGAATAATGGCGTCTGGAATGAAAATTTTAGGCCGAAAAGCGCGCCACTGGACTGCTAGTAGCGGGTAAATTAATGTTTGTTTTTTCGATTCTACCTACCTGCAACTAATAAATAGTGCATTTTATACTATCTCAATCGTTTTTGATTTCTAGAAAGTTACAAAAACCATTTAAAATTTTCCAAATTCGAAAATTGTTTACCTTTTGAGTGATTATGAACTTTTGATATAGAAACGGTGTAAAATCGTCGATATTTTGTTTGAGGAACGCACTGGTTCACTGGAAAAATCAGTCCTCCCTGCTAACCGTCCAGTACCAAAGGCCCTAACAAACGTGAAACTAGATAGAGTCAGGATGATACAACAGCAATGAAATAATTTAATTAACTTCTGTTTTTCTGTAGTTTTACTAAGCCCATAGACAAAAAAAAAACCAACTCTGGCTGCGGCCACCATCGTCCAGATGCGCTGGCCGCTGAGACGATCCATGAGGATGGGCGATTCTGCAGTATTCGCGAGAAGATGCCCAGCATCTGAAACAAAAAAGTATAAGCAGAAAGCAGAGAGAGGAGATGAAAAAGTAAAAAGAACAAGGTTGCTAGGAACGTTAATAAATGGTAGTTTCCAGAAATATTATCGAACCCAGCCTTAAAAGTGCAGCCTTCTTTTTATAAAATGACGAAAAAAAGGAAAATATAATACTTTTTCTAACAAAAAGATACTAACTTTTTCTCGAGAATCTACATCTCAAAGTTTCATTTGGTAAACTCGAAAAACACATGGGACTACATTGTTCACATGTTGATAGGAGCCGCGTGTAGCCGCTGGTTTGAAATTTGGTTGAGATCGTGGAACCATCGACCATCAACTAAAAACTCTGCTAAAATAGTGTATTTGACCTATTAACTAGTTTTTACCCTTGATAATAACATATATTTTCATCTAGATGGGCGCCAATCTATCGGCGAAGAAAGAGCCGCCGATAATTGCCATCTGCGATGCGCCGGTGTTTTGTGTGAAGAAGATGGGGACACGGTAAGGTGGTTTTCACCGGTTTTTACCTTGATTTTCAGACATTTGCTGGTGGCTGGTGGAGATGGTGCGGCGAATACAGGTGTTCCAAACCAGATAGAGGTCCGTTTATTGCGTTTTACCGTTTGGAAATCGCGAATTTAGGCATTGCTCATCACGTTCGACCCGAAGGCCATAATGAGGTGTTTTAAAGAGTCTTTTTCGCAAAATTTAGCTATATTTCAAGCGTAAAAACAATCAGGGGGTGGTACAAAGTTCGAAATTTTGCTGGGGTAGATAGCGAGCTTACTACCCCTACAGGGTGGCCCAAAAAAAACAACAGGTTTGGGCTCGATTATCTCGAAAACCTTAATGAATTCATGGTGGGTTGATGGCTGAAAACCATTTTCTCGGCCTGGAAAAGAAATAAAACACAACTTGATTTTTTCGATTTTTGAGTACGCAACTGTACTATTGACGCCGGTTACGACCGAAAATTGTGCGCTCTTGATTGGGTGGTGGGAAAATTCTGGTTTTTGGCCTAAAAATAGCTGATGTTTGTAGAAATGTAATGGCAAAATCTTAGAATTTATCGAGGTCAATTTCATTTTTTAGAAGCAATTTTGCATCTTTTTACGTTTTAATTAGCAACTCGCTTCAAATTCTCTGCCCATGGCTGATCTTTTGCAAATGGTGTCTCCAAATGATGATCTTTGATCCAACGCCAGTTATCACCCGATTCTATGGTATTTTAATATTGCTTGCTAAAACGTGCCCCAGAGGAATTCCAGCCATATTGCCGACATTCGAATTGCCGACAGCCAAGTTGCCGACAGCCAAATTGCCGACAAGCCAAATTGCCGACAACCAAGTTGCCGACAGCCAAGTTGCCGACAGGCCAAATTGCCGACAGCCGCATTGCCGACATATTCGTGAATTTAAGTCCAAGTCTAAGCTTTGGTATATTTGAGTAGCGTGACTGTTTAACATGCCAAATTTGGGTAGGGTCTGGCCGCGTGACAAAACCGAACCCGGAACGTTTGCTTGGTGCTAGCGCTTTTGACCACTAGACCAAGAGACAGACAGTGAAGGGGAAGCGGAGAAGGTATATGAAGCTTCCGGAGAAGAGCCCGCAGGCTACCGTCTCGTATGTTAATTGTGCTTTGAATCCACCGGAAATTCTCCCCGATATGAATGTATACATAAAATTTCCATTCTAGCCCCAAATACTGTCTTTTGTATAATCTGTCGGCAATTTGGCTGTCGGCAATTTGGCTGTCGGCAACTTGGCTCGTCGGCATTTTGGCTGTCGGCAACTTGGCTTGTCGGCAATCTGGCTGTCGGCAACTTGGCTGTCGGCAATTTGAATGTCGGCAATTTGGCGATTTCCCGCCCCAGAGGGATACTGTAGTTTTGGTTTTTCGCGTTTTTCTTTTTATTGTAAGCTGTGATCCTACTATATATAAAAAAATAGTGTCTGTGTGTGTGTGTGTGCCACTTTGCATGCAACTTCCGTCAGCGTGTTCCAGCAGTATCTCAAGAAGGAGAGTAGTTAGGGGCATTTTTGATACATCGTTAGGTGCGTAATGGCTTCGAGATGACTGCACGCATATAAAATTTATGAAAACCGCTCATATTCGACATTAAATTTAAGTTTTTCTCGAAAAATAGGACAGCCTCTTTGTTAGGAAATAATTAGCATACACCGGAAGCGGCGGTTGCCTATATAATGGTGGAGAGAAAAGATTTATCATTTTTTGTCTTTGGAATTTTCGAGAATTATGAGTATTATGAAACCAGACGGGGCAGATTCCAAAAAGGCGCGAACCGCGCACAATGGGGAAACTATCGTCCCTAGATGACTGCTATCAGGCTTTGGAAATAGCGCCATTTTCCATCATAATTGAAGTTTTTGGTACATAAGTTGCATCAGCTCTTCGTTAAAAACTAATATGCATTGGATCTCCTCAGAGGGCGAAGGAATTAAATTTGATTGATCGGATTTTGAATCCGGATACGCCCGGGTTTTTGCATAGCAGTTTTCATATAAAAAGTCGAAAGAGCCTGGGCAGTCATCTTCAATAACCGACCACAGCCGTGGCGGTTATGCTCCTGCTGCTCGCAGTCTCCGGCTTGCTGCTCATGGCTGAGAAGGAAGTCGTCCGCGACGTCACCCCCATGCTGGATGGGCGTCACGTCAGCGACGCGCCACGCCGCGTGCCTATTCCCGCTGTTTCTATGACTTTTTTCGGCCGTGCCTCCCCAGAGGATATTATCCGTGATGGGATGAGCCAGTACCGCCCAACAGGGGGAGAACGAACCCAAGAGGGCCAGTTCGGAACCCAACCCACGAACGGTGGAGGAGAAGCCCCTCGGGGTTTAATCCAAAACCAAACAATGAACGGTGGAGGAGAAGCCCTTCGGGGTAGTATCCGAAGCCAAAACACAAACGGCGGAGAAGGATCCCGTACGGGTGAATTTGCAAACCGAAACACAACGGCCCCTATGCTGGCCATGACTAACCATGACGAATTCGTCAACCCAAATATGATTGGTGCTGAGGGATCCCGTCACCGGGATACCCAAGGCCTCTCAACTGAAAGTGGAGAAGTAGCCCATGAGGAGGCCATGATGATACCTGAAGCAGCAAGGGTTAATAGAGCCGGCAGCGCTCATTTTCTCGATAAATCCCTTCCGGGGACAACTTTAACGGATGCGATAGAGGAAATGGAATTCAGTGACCCTGATGAACCAGGACCCTCTACGCGGATCCGGAAGCCGACCAAGAAAGAGAAAATGCGCGCTGCAAGGGCTAGCCAAACACAAGATGAGAGGGAAAAACTATCAGTCACAGGCGCGTTACCCAGAAACGTGTGCGGGAAAAGATGAGTTCCGATGAACGAGCTCGATTTACCGAACAACAAAGGAAATATCAGCAGAACTCACGACTTAACAAGATGCCGAAACGTGATATGGGTAGCTTTCTACAAAACCAACCAAGCTCCTCGAATTCTATCCTGGATGAATCAGATGTGATTCAGGTCGACCGCACTCAAATAAGACGAAATGCAAAGGCCGAATTTATGATTCAAGTACGGCAGCAGGAGACTCCGGAACAGACACAAGTTCGGCGTGACGCCAATTCTGCTCAAATGGCTGAAGCTAGGCGACGAGAGACTAACGACCAGACAAAATTACGCCGTAGTTCGAACGCAACGAACATGTCGCAAGTTCGCGAAAACGAGACTCAACAACAGACGCAGGCCCGTCGCCAAGCGAACGCGACTAGAATGATTCTGAGCCGCCAGACCGAAACCGACGAAGAGCGACAAGCTCGGCAGGCGGCAGATGCTGCCAGGCACGCGCGGCGCAGAAACCTTGAAGCACCCCAACAACGCGATGCTCGGCTGGCGGCCGCCCGGGATGTGGTTTTCCCAGCTCGAGTCGGCCCGCGTCAACCTTCTGCAACCGCCGGAGGCATTGCACGCTACCACGACCAGATCCCCGATTTGCACGATTTGGGACCTATGAACATCGAATGCACCGAGTGCCATGCTATGCATTGGCCACAGGAGCTTAATGACCGATGCAAATTCAGTATGTGCTGCAGAAAAGGCAAGATTAAACTGCAAATTTTCGCAAATTACCCCGATGAGTTGAAAACGCTTCTGACCGGCACTGAACGTCGCCATAAAGCCTTCCGTGAGCATATCCGAAATTACAACAGCTCATTGGCAACCGCCTCAATTGTGGCCAAGCTCGACACTCCGCGTGGAAATGGACCAGTTCCATACAAGGTACATGGTCAAGTCGTTCACTTGGTGGGCGGCTTAGTTCCTCAAGACGGCCAGATGGCTCAATGCGCCCAAATCCTTATCATGGACACCGGGGACGCAGCTAACGAGTTGGCCGGTCGCCAAATAAATCGGAAATGTGAACGAGAAATTTTCATCGAGTTACATGATTTGCTAAACAGGATCAATCCATTTGCACGTGCGTTTAAAATGATGCAAGAGGTTTACCACCAAGAAGAACAAGATGCGCAGGCAAACGGACGAGACGTGCAATCCGTAAAAATGGTTTTTGCACAGACAAATCATGACGATCTGAGAAGGTACAACGCCGCTACGGCTAATGAAGTTGCCGCGATTTACGTCGGTAACGATGAGGAAATCCCAGGAAGACGTCTATTGGTGGTTCATGATCGCCAGCAGGGGCTTCGAAACATCAGTTACCTCGATAAAAACTGCGATCCGATGTGCTACCCACTTCTCTTCCCAAGGGGAGATTTTGGCTGGCATCCGGCACTAGACCGCGTGCAACCTGCCGGATCGGGGCATACACGAGTCACTCAAATGGACTTTTATGCTTATCACGTATTCAAACGCCCAAATGTTCCATTCAACCCGTTGCATCATTCATGCAAATTATTTCAACAATGGTTAGTTGACAGCTGGATCAAAATTGAGCAAAACCGCTTGGACTTTCTAAAGAAAGGGCAGAAACCAATGCGACTCGACAC